AAATATTAATATAAAATATGAAATTATCAAAAAGCATAATAAACTAAAATTGACATGACAAATATTATACACAATTCTATTATATATATAAGTTTATATAATCCTTGTGAATATTATTATTATTATATTTAAAAAATATTAATATTATTAACATTATTAGTAGTAGTATTGCCCTGGTGAAGCTATTTGGTCCACATTTATTTTGCATTTATTACACGGGACAAAATATGATCTGAATTTGCATAAATTACCCTGTTCAAAAGTTGGTTCTTAATATGTGACCCTGGACCACAAAACCAGTCATAAGGGTCAAATTTTCGAAAGTGAGAATTATACATCATCTGAAAGGTGAATAAATGAGCTTTCCATTGATGTATGGTTTGTTATGATAGGACAATATTTGGCCGAGATACAACTATTTGAAGATCTGGAATCTGAGGGTGCAAAAAAAATCTAAATATTGAGAAAATCGCCTTTAAAGTTGTCCAAATGAAGTTCTTAGCAATGCATATTACTAATCAAAAATTCAGTTTTGATATATTTACAGTAGGAAATTTACAAAATATCTTCATGGAACATGATCTTTACTTAATATCCTAATGATTTTTGGCATAAAAGAAAAATCAATAATTTTGACCCATACAATGTATTTTTGGCTATTGCTACAAGTATTCCCCAGCGACTTAAGACTGCTTTTGTGCTCCAGGGTCACATATCATATTGCTGTTGCTTCTTTGAGCATTTCTGACTATATGTTTTTAGCCATTTGTGGCTGTATGAGTCCCTGGTTTGTCCTGAGCAGTGAAAGCAGAACTCCTTCAGTTCCTGGACGTTCTTTAGCATCTTTGCATCTTCTGCACATTTGCGTTCTTCCCCACAGAGACTCAAACACAACACAATCACAAGCAGTCACTGATATTAAGAACAAGGCAATGCAAACCATATGATCCTGTTCAAATTAAAGTTTTTTTTTGTCTTGCGGAATATATGTAAATATCGGTTATGCAGCTTTACTTTTAAATGCTAAACATCTTACAGATTCTGGAAGGGGTGTGTAAACTTACACATTTACAACTGTATATATTTGCAGCTCGTGAAACTGCAGAGGAAATCTAATTAAATGCACATAAGGAAGACATAAAAGAAGCGTATTGTTTTTACCTGTCCATATGGAGAACCGCGAAACTCACACCTATTATGTAAGGCTCACATCTGCACAGGAATTCAGTGCTATTCCATTTAGGATGTCAATTAGGATGTGCCAAGACCACAGAGAGCTGCGAATCACATATTACCTCGTCTTCTGTGTTGTCGTACTATTACACTTGTTTCCGAACTGTTCTTTTTTGCTGGCTTCGAGCTTAATACCTGGGCTCGTCTGTTTTAAGAACAAGGGAAAAAATGAATAGTGTTGTTGGCAAAACAGACATTTCAAATGGAATGGCTAAATTATGAAGTGTAAATCTGGTGTCATCTAAAAAAGAGCCGCAAAGAGCATTTTTCCCCATCATGGTGTTTAAAGAAAAAAAGAAAAAAAAACAGTGCTATTTGCAAATGGGCAGATCTTAATAAACGATAACAGACTGATTATGAATTAAGTTGTTTTGTTTATCATATGGGTATGTACAATGTCAGACAAGTAAAAAAATGCTTGTAGAAAATCTGATGTTTTATTATTGTCGTTGTATTTGTTGTCATATATAAATAAATATGTCTATATATAAAATATAATAAAATACAAAATTAAAATTATAAAAGAAAAAAGTAAAAAAATGTTAAAATAAAATTTCAAATT